AGGAATAGACTTGAATTGTTTGACCTTTGGTCCAGGTAGAGTGGATCCACTTCTATACCCAAAATACTAATTAGCCACACCCTAGGTCAGAATCTTTCTTTTGTCTTCTATCAGGTTCAGTGTGTTCGGACTAATATTGAGGTCCTTAATCCATTTGGACTTGAGTTTTGTGCATGGTGATAGATATGGATCTATTTTCATTCTTCTACAGATTGACATCCAGTTTTGCCAGCACAATTTGTTGAAGATGCTCTCTTTTTTCCATTGTATACTTTTATTTAGCTCCTTTATCGAAAATCAGGTGTTCATAGGTTTGTGGATTAAAGTCAGGGTCTTCTATTCGATTCCATTGGTCGACTTCTCTGTTTTTATGCCAATACCAAGCTGTTTGAAAGGAGACAAAAACAGAGACCCACATTGGAGCACCGGACAGAAATCTCAAGGTCCAAATCAGGAGCAGAAGGAGAGGGAGCATGAGCAAGGAAATCAGGACCGCGAGGGGTGCACCCACACACTGAGACAATGGGGATGTTCTATCGGGAACTCACCAAGGCCAGCTGGCCTGGGTCTGAAAAAGCATGGGATAAATCCAGACTAGCTGAACATAGTGGACAATGAGGAATACTGAGAACTCAAGAACAATCGCAGTGGGTTTTTGATCCTACTGCACGTACTGGCTTTGGGGGAGCCTAGGCAGTTTGGATGCTCACCTTACTAGACCTGGATAGAGGTGGCCGGTCCTTGGGCTTCCCACAGGTCAGGGAACCCTGATTACTCTTCAAGCAGATGAGGGAGGGGGACTTGATCGGGGGAGGGGGAGGGAAATGGGAGGTGGTGGCAGGGAGGAGGCAGAAATCCTTAATAAATAAAGAAATTAAAAAAAAATCTTTCTTTTGTAGCCACACCTATTGTCAACAACTTTGAAAGAACAAAATGAAGCTCAAACTCTCTGACCTCCACGTCTGACCGTTCATGTCTGTGGGTCCCCACAATGTCCTTTCCATGTTTCTTCTTCCTTGCTCCATTCTTTAGGTTAACACACAGAGACATGGCTTCGTTACAGCATGTTCATACATTCTCATCATTATCCTCTGTTCTTATCCGTTGCCTTCTCCCATACTCTGTAGTAATAAGGGCGCCATCAATACTCCCTGCACTTCTCTTTCTGGTTTTCACATACACATTTCCACCGGGTATATGAAGCGCATTTTCTTCCACTGTATATATGAAAGCACATTGATTCATATCTTTTGATGGACATCTGCACTGGGTCCTTTCCTGGCCATTGAGAATAGTGCAACTATGAAAAGGGTTGTGAAATTATCGCTGTGGTGTGCTGATACCTATCAAAGCATGGCAGAGTGGGGTCAAATGGGAGTTCTACTTTCAGAGTGTGGAGGAACCTCTGTACTGCTATCCGTTGTGGCTGCACAAGTTTACATTTCCAACAGCAGTAAGAAAGGGATCGTCTTTCTTGTATCCTCACTAGAAGCTGTTGTCATTTGTTTTCTCACAGCCAGGCTGGCGTGAGATGGAGTCTCGGGGTTATTTGTGTTTACATTTCCCTGATGGATAAGGATCTTGAACACATTTCCATGTATTTCTCAGCTATTTGTATTTCTTCTTATGAGAACTGTCTCCTTAACCTATATATTGAAGGGGTGTGTGTGTGGGGGGGGGGGGGGGTAGGTAAGATGGAATAAAAGGATCTAGTTTAACTGATCTACATGTGAAAATCCAATTTTCCCAGGACCCTGTTGGGGAAAAAAAGCTTTGTTGGGACTGGACAGATGGCTCAGTTGGTAAACTGTTTGCTGTGCAAGCATGAAGACCAGTGTTTGAGTTTCTAACCTACATTAAAAAAAAACAAACAAAACCAAAACCAAATGGAGAGAAGTAGTGCACAGCTGTGATCCCAGCACTGAGCTGCAGAGACAAGTAGATCCTGGAGCTTACTGGCCGGCCAGCACAGCACATCTGAATTGGGAAGCTCTGAGTTCACTGATAGAGCTGTTTCAAAATATAAGGTGGAGAGTCATTGAGGAATATACCTGATGTCAGCCTCTGGTTGCCACCAACAGAGGCACACAAATGCATGCATGTGCACATGCACACAATTTTGTGAACACATACACCACACACGTGCACAGCCTTATCAAAAAATTAGGGGACTCAGGGCTGGAGATAGGGCTAAACAATTAAGAACACTGGCTGCTCTTCCAGAGGATCTCGGTTCATTTCCCAGCACCTACATGGTGGCTCATAACTGTCTAACTCCAGTCCCAGGGGATCCAATGGCCTCCTATGGACTCTGTGGTTTTGGCGTGCATGTGACACATACATGTAGGCAGAACATTTATATGCATAGGAAATGAATCCATTTCATCCTAGCTGTGGTTTTTGTTTTTTTCCTTTACATTTACATGTTTATTAACTGATTGCACCATTATTGTCAAGTGTGTGTGTGTGTGTGTGTGTGTGTGTGTGTGTGTGTGTGTGTGTTTGGAATTTGAACCCAGGGCCTTTGCTATACTATATACTAAGTCTATGCTCACCTCTGACTTACATCCTCAAGTCATGTTTATTAGCCACTAATTCTACACTATGTACGTTAGGCATTGGAGTACAATGTCAAGTGCAACCCTTTTTCTTCATGATCTTTTCAGGTGTATCATGTCCAGTAGAACTCAAGCTCAGAAGCCAGTGTTGAGCTTCTAAACTACAATATCAATAACAGTTTAGTTGATAGTCCACCATATCCCCGCCTGAGTTTTAGCAGGGCATCTATGGATCTTTGTTGAGCTCACTGGAAGCAATGTCTTAAGACATTTAGGGAAGACTGTATCCATGTTTGTTCTCTGCTTGTACTAATGGCCTTTAAATAGCTAAAGAAAACCTATCCTGGGAGCCAAGTTGCCTCAGTTGGCATGATAGTCTAAGCTTGGATCCCTAGAACCTCCATATAAAAGTTGAGTGGGGTAGTGCCTATCTGTAACTCTAACACTAAGAGAGATAGAAACAGGCAAATACTTTGGTCATCTGGTCTACCTGAATTGATGAGCTCCAGATTCAATAAGAGACCTTACTGTAAAAAAAAAAGGGGAAGAAGAAAAATAATAGAAAAGAAAAGAAAAAGAAGGTGGAGAACAATCAAGGATGACATTTAACATCAGCATGCACCCACTTGTATACACATGTACTTGACTATGTGCATATGTAGGCACAACCATACAAATACATACATGTACAAAACAAGAAGGAACAGCCTGATAGCCAGCTAGAAATTTAGAAAATAGGGTCGCTGTTATTTCAGCAACATAGTCTCTGCTTTGGGGAGCATTAGATGGAGATTATAACAGGTTAATGGATTTTTGAGTTCTATTTGTAGGTATCTAAAGGTCATTTGTTCCATAATTCTGGGCATACAATGCTAAATTATTAAATATACTATGGCTTCATGGCCAGTTTGTGGTCCATTTTGATATTTTCCCACCACATTATAATGAAGAGTGGATTCTAAATCATTAACGCTAGACAAACTGTAATATATTTTATGTCAGGAGCTCTGCAGCTTTTGACTCATTCTGACCTTGGAGTTTTATTTTCGCTCGTTCCTTAATAGCAAGTTAATGATAAACAGGTGCTTCTGCTTTTCCAGCTTCCTCCCTATGCCCATCCAAGCACAGCATCTTCTGTGCTGTCTTTGCTCATTATCGCTTCTTGGTCTATACTAGTTTGTATCAAATATCGGACCCAAAATTTAATGGGGGATTTTAAACGTCCTGCTGACAGGTGGCCTTCTTGTTCTGGCAGGAGGTGCCATTGATGTTTCGGCAGGAGAATAACAGGAAGTTGAACAACTCAACTTGTCTAGTCATTACTGTCCTTGCCTACTGTGGCCTCCTCCCCATTCCTCTTCCATCTCATACTGTCTCTATCTGCTCAGGTTTTCTTTCCTTTGTAAACATTTTGTTAAGCCTTCTAGTATGGTTTAAAGTTTTTCTATCATTGAGAATTTAGAGATTTCTCCAGGATGTGCCTTCCTCCGTATATTTTTCATTGACTTTTCTAAAACGACAGGCCATATCCGAGAGGAAGATTTGAATGTCTGGGTCACATTGTCAATGTTTTCTTCTGTTATTCTTTTATGACTTCATGGTTCCTCTCTTCTTCTGGACCAGCAGCTTCTTACATACTAGGACCTTCGAACAAGTCTTTGTTTGCACCTATGATTTCATAAGATTTTACTCTTGGACTGAGGAGATGATCCAGGTGGCGAAAAAGTTGCTATATATAAAACCACAGGCTCAGTGGGAGACCTTGTCTCAAAGACAAATGTGGAAAGCAATAGAGGAAGACCTCTTCCTCATGTATACACAGATACACACAAGAGAGAGAGAGAGAGAGAGAGAGAGAGAGAGAGAGAAAGAGAGAGAGAGAGAGTTGCTCTTTAATTGATCTCATCTTTGAAAATACGAACTCAATCTTCTTAATTATTTTCCCTGTTTTAATGTTCCACTAATGAATTTTTAAAGTAATGTCATTTTTAGTTCCAGGAATCTCTCTCTAATCCCATGATTATATTCCCTATGAGCTTCACTCTTATTCTAGGTGTTTCCCCTGTGGGCCATCACCTCTTTAGCAAACATCTGCCTCCAAAAATATTTACAATATAATTTGTAATGGTAGCAAAATTACAGTTACGGAATATCAGTGAAAAGAATATTATAGTTGGGAGTTACCAAACCTGAGGAACTGCATTAAAGGGTTACAGCTTTGAGAAGGTTGAGAATCTCTGTTCTGAAGGGAAAGCATACATATTTCCAATTACATACAATAAAGTGCTCTGCTTTCTAATGTACAGGCTAAATACTATGGAGCCACGCGTGACAAAGTGTCAGTTTTCTAACAGCGTCATGAATGTTTCTCTCATTTGTCAACAGTCACATGAAGAAATAAATACTGCTTTAGAGCTGTTTTTTATCAGAAAGTTTATTGCATTCATCTATAAACCTACTTGGCAGAATAAATGACAGCAAAACCAATGCTGAGGAGGTTTATCATCTTTGGAAAAGAGAGATAGCTTAACACTCAAAACGTTAATTTTGTTTGCTGTTACCAAGTAAACCAGACTGCGGTTGGAATTTTTTTCCTTTTAAAATATATATAGATATTTTGCAATTTGCTCACATCAAAACAAAGCTGAGACAAAATAACGAACAGGGCTCTATGGGGCAGCTTACTGTGTGTCATCCCATGCTTCATAACCAACCACTTCACACCAAGCCTCTGGACATGTCCATGGTATTAAAACTTTAAAATCAAAGTAGCCCTTAAGTGTTTCATTGAAATAATAAGGACATGTTACCCAGAGATGGAACATTCATTATTTTAAAACCACAGCCCTTAAATTAACTGTTATGATTTTTGTCTTACTTGAATTGTAGAGCTCCAATATCAATGTGAATTATTGGTGATATTATGATGCTTATGTTGGACTTTAATATTTGGTTGAAAAGTTCCCCAGGACTGACCACTGTTACAGCCCACTGAGGTCCAAATGACCATATCTCCATAAAGTAGCCTGCATTTCTCTAGTCAGCGGTCCTTATGCTGATGGATTTGGCTATGGCACGCTGTGCTGCTCTGTTACAAGCTTCTAAAGTCAGTTTTTCTGTACTTGGTCAATACCCACAGAAACATTGCTAACCACATTGAATTCTGTCTGCTACTAGTACTCTACAGGGATGGGCTCATGTCTAACACTGTGAATAATTATGAAAATTCCCTTATCATACAACTAACCACAATGATCATATTCTCCTAATGAGAGCAAATATATGTGTTATCACTTGGGCAAGTTTGGGTGTAATGCAGTAAATGAGAGAAATTTTAAAACATCGACTTCTAGGCAAAGAGTAGCGGCTGGCGTCACATTCTCATATGGCTGTCGCGTGCAAGACATGGCAGGCTCATTCGGTGCTTTTTGCTTTCTGCCACAGGAGACTGGAGAGAAATTACAGCAAAACCTCTAGAAAATAGATTCCTCTCCAAAGACAACGAACGTGGGATTTATAATGTCTGAATTCTGAAGTGTTCTGACTTAGGAAAAGTCTCACAGAAACTGCTAGATAAGCTCTAGATAAGGGGCAGGACAGCGGCTTGTGTTAGGATGCCAGTCTAGGATGCGGGTCTAGGATGCGGGTCTAGGATGCGGGTCTAGGATGCCGGTCTAGGATGCGGGTCTAGGATGCGGGTCTAGGATGCCGGTCTAGGATGCGGGTCTAGGATGCCCGTCTAGGATGCGGGTCTAGGATGCCCGTCTAGGATGCCGGTCTAGGATGCGGGTCTAGGATGCCGGTCTAGGATGCAGGTCCAGGATGCGGGTCTAGGATGCCGGTCTAGGATGCGGGTCTAGGATGCGGGTCTAGGATGCCGGTCTAGAATGCGGGTCTAGGATGCGGGTCTAGGATGCGGGTCTAGGATGCCGGTCTAGGATGCGGGTCTAGGATGCGGGTCTAGGATGCGGGTCTAGGATGCCGGTCTAGGATGCGGGTCTAGGATGCCGGTCTAGGATGCGGGTCTAGGATGCCGGTCTAGGATGCCGGCCTCAGTCAGACTCTACAGGGTAGCTTGCTGCTGCCGGCCATTTGGAGTCTTCCTCTGCTCTGTAGGCTTTCCTTGTACGCCTTTGCACACAAAGCTTTCTTTTTCCCCCCAAATGGTAGAATGAAAAATATAAACTTATCTCCAGAGAGTAACAGGGAAAACTCAAACTTACCCTCATGCTCAAAAAGAGAAAAAAGCAAGTGCTCAACTTTTTTATTCATTTATAACCAAGAAGGACTCCTGTGGCTGCTAACCCATGTGTCTGTTTAATGTTTGTTCCCTAGGAAGCAGTCAATGCTTAACTACTGGGGGAAAAAAATCAATTGTTTCTAAAGTATGCTCCAGCTAATAAAAGAGAAATTGCCCTAAGTGTGTTTGCTGCAGATTTATTATTCACCTGACCAAATTACCCCGTCATGACAGGCACAGATGTAGCATGCAAAATGATAGGATGTTCCACCTGGAAGACTGACCAGACCAATACTTTATGGCTCCCGCTAGGAGACAGGCACGGAGCAGGCCATTATGAATGGACTCCAGCAGAAGGCTATGTAGGGTTTCCTATCTTTAGAACATCAGCGACTGCTACATTCTGCTATGATATTACATCGCCTTTCCCGTCCTCTGCAGGCTCGTGTGTGGTGATGCTTTCCCGTATCACATTGGCATTCTCACGAGATGAAAGCCCTGGGGTAAAGATGTGTCTGCAATAGTGTGCGCCGGGCAAGCCTCTGTTCTAATCTGCAGGGAACAGCTCATATTTAAACCAAATGCAGGATGATTTTTAGTCATGCCTGCATTTACTATGAAAAGTGTTCCAGTTTAGATGGTCAGTTGTCGATAACCCCGTGATGGAAGTCCTTAGTAACGTCACCTGTGGTACCTGCTCCTTCCTGAGTTTAACCACGGAAAGAAGAGCTCCACTGTGGGCTCTAGAAAGTTCCATTCCAGTGATCTGCTATGTACCTACGGCTACTATACTGTGTTAGTAACAGCCAGTTTAATAAGTCCAAATTGTATATTTTCATTTCCTCCCTCCAAAAGAAAAACGATGGATTTGTATTGAGCAGAAAATGAATGGCAATGATGCAACAAACAATGGCCATAGCATATTCTTGCAATTTAACAATCCAAACACTACAAAACATAGAATATACAACTTAATGAAAATACAAACTAAAGAGGCATGGGTACATGTCACATTAGCAATGCAAAAGGCCAGCTTAAGCATAGTTTCTCTAAATCAACAATTAAAAAGGAAAGTGCCCTTTTCCCAAATATGAACAAAAATATTTCAGTCACTTCTAGGGGAAAATTAAGGAGAACATTCCTCTAAGTCTATATTACAGCATGTATTACTAAAGGTTTATCACACCCAAGCATCTTACACTTAAATGTACACCCTCTGGCACTCGTCACACACTCACTCGATCAAAAATAAAACCATTGCATCTTTGTATTTATGAATAACTGATAAGGTATGAATCTGACGTGGTGAATATGCATGGCAGAGACAGCAATTAGAATGATGTCATGAAACTAACATGGGCCAAAGATCAAACAGAAATATCACATTTATGTACTGGTTTCTCCAATGCTTATGCTATATCTAAAATAATTTTAATTGTACATTTCTCGTTCTAAAAACAAAACCTTTTTGTATTTAGATTTGTTCCCATGGCTGGTGTTTATTAGAAATTGATGCAGTTTTACTGCCCGACGGACTGCTTCCTCCCATGATCATACACTGCCTATGAAACCGAGTCCAAATGGAAAAACATGATGTAGAAGGACCCGGGAATATGTTCCTTGCCTCCTACATGTTCAGTAATTTCCATGGTCACTAAGTAAATGTGTGGTAACCTGAACAATCCTAGGGGTGTCTCTGTGATGGTAAGGACAACACATCGATAATTTTCCAGGGATAATTACAGTGTCCCCTCAAGCCTGTGTCTCTGAAAGGTTTTGCCAAGTTCACCCCATCAGCTAACATCTTACAATAAGTCACTGGCTTTGCAGCTCCTAACCTAACCGCAATGCGAAATGATGAAGTGCTCTCCTTCCAGACCACCTGTTTACAACACACCATGCTGGGCGTCGGCCTCAGCCGGGAGCTTTCTGGTATGTGTCCAACAACTGCTTATTGGATTAGTTCACGTCATCTGCAGCATCAACTGGAAGATGGAGATCTCAACAGCGGGCCTGGAAAGAGTTCCAGCGCTCACCCAGAATTCCTTGGATGTCATTCGCTGTTGCCGCTGCTGCTGCTGCTGCTGCTGCTGCTATTGTTGCTGCCGCCACCGCCACCACCACCATGCTCTGTCTTGGGGGAGGTTGAACTGTCCCTTACTGGCAGCAGGTCATAATGGCAAGGGATGTGACTGTTCTTTGGAAGGTCATATGGATCTTGGGTGAGATGACCATTATTGCTGAATACTCCTTGAACAACACTTACTGTAGGTTCTGTAATAACCAGCAACAACAACAATAAAAATTTTAAAGATGATGCTCTTTATTTCAAATATAAAACATAACAGAAGTACTTTATAAAAATCTACGGAAATATTTTTTTAAATATCTTTTGTAATCTTACAGTGAAGAGAACTCCATAGTTATTCACACAATTGGCACCCAGAAATAGTATTCAGAGAAAAGGATGTGGAAATCAAGAAGATGTGCAGAAACCACAAATATGAACCATTGTCTCAAAATACCTTGGGAATAACCTAGCCCAAGCCCCTGACTCTACAGAGAAAAGTGTTCTTAGAGGTTGCCTCAATTTATGGAGATACTCAACATGTTCACAAGGTTAGCCCTAAACAGTGAACTGAGTTCTCATTATATTGCGATGGGCTTAAAGAAGAGTTGGGGGATGCCATCACTGACAATAAATAAATAAATAAATAAATTTACTGTAGTTTCTCCATTAACAAGATATTTTATACTGTATCTATGTACAGAGAGACTAAAATAAATATCCCTCCTATCAAGTCAACATTGGCAGCACTGTTTTATTTTTTTTCCCAAATGACATTCACAGAAGGCACTCAGAATAAGTATAATTTTGTATTTAATTCCTCATAGTTCATACCAGAATCATATGAGACTACATCTGACATATTACGCAAGTTTAAAATAAAAGTGTTCCAGTTCTGCTAAAAGCATTGCGTTAGTATCATGGATACAGCCAGGAAATGGAGTCACCTGTTCCGTCCCCTCGAGCTGTTTGTTACCTGCTGTGTTAACTAATATATGGTTCATATGCTCCTTCACATGGGTGCTAAAATATTTACCATGCTTGTAAAACAAAGATGATGGCCATGTGGAAAATAAGGGAAATAAGTTTAAAATTGCTAAATGTCGTTTCCCTGAAAAATTCACTTCATATCAATTAATACGATCTTTGTAAAACACAGTCGCGTATAAAACACGGGCTTACTTAGAATTGTTTCAAACACGGTCTTATGCCAAGGTTCTTTAAGATGTGGACAGAGAACTCACCAACTTCGTAGACATTCCTGTTGGCCGAAGTTGAGTTATTGATCTCCGCATATGGGGAGTCTCTCCGCGCGGGTGACTTCATCTCCACATAGCCACACTCGGAGCTTTTAGGCAGGAGTGCAGGTGGGTCTTTAATTGTGGCATACGGGTTTTCAGAGCTGCTTAGGGAGCAGTTGCTGGAATTATAGTCAGAGTTCTTTCCCAGATCTGAGAAGGAAAAGGGAAGGAAAGGAGTAAGTGCGGTTCACGGGCACCGTCCTTTCTGGGTGGTAATTTCCTTGGGCAGATTACTTTGTTTGCTTTATGGGTAGGTTTCTCTAATGGTATATGCTAAAAACAATGTGCACTTTCTACTTATTTTGAAGACCATTTGCTATAAAATGGCCCATCTATAATGTAATTTTAACTTCCCTCTAAGGGGATTGCTATGAAAAGTGTCATGGGTCTGGTTTCATTTCTATGATCACATTCAAATACAATTAATTCTGTTCTGACTCTATGAGGAAATTTACTAGTTAAAGCCTTTAAATCAATAGTCAGGAGTTATGGCCCAGAAACACAGGCTATTTCTAGTATCGTAGAAAGAGGAGCATTTCTGCCATGGAAACTCTCTGTAACCCTTCGGTACTGGATAGCGCATTGCTCAAAGCCATTGTGGAGGGCTGGTGTTAATAGCCAATCCTGTCTTACTGCCTGCTGCTTCCCAATCCACATTTGTCTCTCCCAAGACATTGTTTCATTTCAAGAAAATAGGGATATTCCCTCCAAAAACTGAAACGTTTGCCTTCTCAAATAGATCTGCTTATCATCAGTCTCTCCATATCCACCAAACACGTTGGTGCCTTATTACAGTGACTGTCACATTGAAAATTCCAGGCCATCTTAGTTAATTCCACGTTAGCTTGTTTTAAAAATTGTTTCATTCTCTGAGCTACATCTTCAAATCTACACCGTACCTTTTAAAGACTTTCCCATGTAACTTCTCTCCAGTCCGAAAGTGCCTGTGAGGGAGAAGGGAAACCCAGCCCGTGAGGACAGAAAGGAAAAGGAAACAAGCCCCCATCTCACATCACGGCAGGTGATTGCTCCAGCGTGAGTCACCGTGGCTCTGCTCTGAAATCTCTGCACCCCATCAATCATGCCAGGGCCTGGACCCCCGTGGGCAGTAGGCATGGATGCACACGTCTCATCCTTCACCTGCTTGTTTGCAGGGTTTGGGGAAAGGTAGAGGAATGTATATAGGAACAGAGAGACAAGCAGAGAGGAAACAGCAACCTGAACCAAGGCTGAATAATGCGAAGGATGTAGTCGAGGCTAAACCCGAGAGGTCACTCTCTACCAGCTCCTCAAGGCTCTGATGGTTTTTTCACACAGTTTTCTCAGTAACTAGGATTCAGCTGTAGCATCATCTGCGTTCTAAGTGCGTTGACTTTAACACTTTATCAGTCAATGCTAGAACCTGACCATTTTTATTAACTTTTATTTGAGATTGTTGACTTTGTCAGGTTTCTTGAGGGTGGGCATCTGTAGAGGAGTCTACCCTAGACAAAACAAGTAGTTGTTTTGTTTTCAAATATCTGAACTTCATGGAGGTGGCTGTTGGTTTGGAATAAATTGCTCTGCTCACCCTGGGAAAAATGAAATCTGTTGGCGGTGAACATTTCAGCAAACACTGAAACCAATGAAGCCGTAAGCACCTTTGACAGAGCATCAGACTGTAATCACCAATCCATAGCACCCAAATTCCTGAGAAGACACAAAGTCCCCTCTGGTCTGATTTTTTTTTTTTTTTTGCCACCTCGTGTAAATGCTACATTGCCATTCTGGTGCTGAACGGGAGACAAGGGTCCCACTGGAGCCATTGGGAGAGAGGAAAAGGCACTTAGCTCCTCTCACTCCCTAGCCACATAACTTTAGGGCTTAGCTCCAAGCGTCAGTCTTCTCTTCCTCAAAACCTGCACTCCAGCCTTACATAGCTATTCTCACCATTAAGTGAAATAGAACACACACACACACACACACACACACACACACACACACACGCCTTGCAGACTTTGAAGCACCATCTACATGAATGGAGTTTCAATTACTGTAACACTTAAGTTGTCAAAACACCATCAGCATCAGCCCTTCAGGATGTTTTTTTTTTAATCTTTCAAAGCAATGTTAAGGACTTAGTTAAAAGCAGAAAGGGGGAAGGAAGAGGGGAATGGAGGGAGAGCGAGGGTAGGGGAGCATTCTTCCATGGCTTCTGCATCAGGTTCCTGCTCTGACTCCTATGATGGATTGTACCCTGGAAGTGTGAGCTGAAAGAAACCCTTTCCTCCTCTGAATGGCTTTTGGCTAAAGGTTTGTCATCGCAGCAGCAGAATGAAGCCAATACAAAGGGGGTGCACACATGCCCCTTCCTGGATTACCAATCTTCCCCCAACTAACGAGCAAACTGCACCATGTGCTGGGCAGTGTACCCCAGAAGCTGGCACCCACAATTCGCGATCAGGAGGTCCTCAAAATTAAAACAATTTCCTAGTAAAATGGTATTACTTGCCTGTCATTTTAGCTCTCTTTCGGGTGTGTGGAGGGGTTTCCCCGAGGCTGTACAGGGTGCGCTCCACAAATGACTGGCTACAGAGCAGATGTGAGAATTTGGCCATTTGCTCGAAAGCCAGACAGGAAATAAAACTACGAGGCAGAGCCAGTCTTCGCATTAACCCTCATGGGAAGGGGGAAGGAGAACGCAGTTTTGTAATATGCTCTTAGTGGATTGAAATGAGATTATTATTGCCAATTAGCTAAAATAACTATTTTTTAAGTTTCTCAATTTTTAATTTGCAATATGGTAACTATCAAGTAGCCATAGCCTACAACAGCAAGGGGCCCTTTGGGGTATTCAAATAAATGTGTAAGAATATAAATCCATCCTGATTGCAAAAAGCTTATGGACCACTAATCTCATGATTGTTTCCACACCTGAAAAAGGGGAGAGATGTTGAAGGTGGCGTTCAGTAGTAAGAGGGAACACGCTGTCATTTTTTTTTATTTTTTTATTTTTATTTTTATTTATTTATTTATTTATTTTTACCAAGGGAGCCTACATCATGGTAAAAGCTGACAGGGTTCAAAGGCCAGTTCTAACAGGTTTTCAAAACATGTTCCTGGGCCTTGTGAAAATCACCCCAGCTTTTTATGGCTCATTAACTGTCACATGGAGCTGAGAACTACCTCTGGATGAAGTTTCTAGTGGGCAGAGATGTTTGTCTCTCAATTCTGGAGCAACGTAATAACTCAGAAAGTGATCATTGAACAAATAAGACATTAAGGCTAGTAGTAAGCCCTATAGACGAGTTAGACCTAATTCCGTTATTTAGGCATGTTTCTGGTGGGTGGCTATAGCGCGCACCCAGCAGGATGAGTGCTTAGACTGTCGAGAATGCGCATGCGCTTGTGGGCCTCACCAAGCTCATTGACGTAGCCGCCTTGCTTCCAGTCGGCTGGTAAGGTCCCCGTGCAGTCCACCAAGGCACCTCTCTTCCTCGGATTCTCGTTTTTAAGATTCACAAAGAGCTGGTTGTTTTTCGACTATGAAAAGAAAAACACGATTTAAGAGGAGACCACACTGGGGGAAAGCAGTTTCAGGGGTTAATGGCAAGGCCCTTCCCTCAAGGGAGGGGAGGGGAGAAAGAGGTGAGGGGGCTCATTCCTGGCTGAGTGGACATCTCTCAGTACTCATGACCTGAAGGGCTTCATTTCACATTGTCACTTTTTACCAATTAGACTTTGTTTGAGCTATAAACGAAGAATTCTAAAGAAAAGTATTGTGGGTCTGAGTTCTATCACAGTCTCCATGCTGTGGGTCGCCAGCGCCTTGGCCATTCTGCTAAACATGCGCATGTGCCTGAGAAGCCGTACGAGATGGGATGGGACGATGAGCATGGCATCTGGGCAACACGAGGTTCTATTTAACTCTCTGACGCCACCGTGAAAACCCAGCAGTGTCAATAATGGCAGTGGATTAATGTCCCCCCTCTTTTGTTCTGTTCCTTCTTTCCCTTATAGAGAGCTGGACAGTGATGAGCCAGAAGATGGAGCCTGGAGACAGTGGGAAGGAGAGTTTGGAACTCAGAGCATCCTGGGAGATTGCAGAAATACAGGTGGTCGGAAAGGATTGATGTAGTGATTTCACAATAAGTCTTTATGCTTTTATTAGCATCATCATGATTAAACATTGTTTTTAATCTCAGGTAAAATTAGGAACACAGTGAGGCCTGTCGGCGACGAGACCTTAATGCCCACAGCAACAGTGGAGGAGGCTGGAAGCCATTATTACTTAGGCCCTGTTGAGTTCCCTGGAGATGCTAAGACACACTTAGAGGGTAGTTAGGAGAATCAGGTGTGCACGGTGCACAAAATAACTAGGGCGGCAGGGGCGAGCTGAAGACCTCGTGAATGTGTGTTCTTTATCTCTCTCCCCTCCCCACTTTCTGATTCTTGGGGCATTTTTCCCCTCACCTTGGCAATGGTCAACCTGTCCCTGTTATTGACATGGGGGGATGAGGCACACTGGCTGAGTGTGTGGTAGCTGGGGTTGGTGAAGTAGTGGCTGTTGGCATTTCCACCATTGCTGTGAGGCAGGGTTTCTGCAAAAAGAGAGGAAAGGGTTAATTGAAAATGACAGTACAGATGTTTCCCTCTCCTGCCCAGCCTACTCCTCAAAGCCCCTGGAAGAGCAGATGCCCACTATTGCCTCTTTGGAAATTGTGAAGGCATTGGCAGAAGACCGGAAGACCGTTCTTAGCTTTGGGACCTTAGTTTGGGAAGAACAGAGACAGCAGCCCTTGCAACAACACAGCTGTACCCACTTTCTTCTTTAAAAACACTTGATTTCTTGACACAGTACTTCTGCACGGAAAATATACTCTTTACATAAATTTCCTATTTTGCATATTCTGCCAGAATTATAATATTTATAAGCATATCGCCAGGGTCCTTCAGTAATTGTTCAAGACCGAGTAAGATTGTCAGTTTCTTCAATTTAAGAGTTTACTGCTTTCGAAGGTTGATTGGATTCAGAACAGGTGTTTATAATGGAGCGCCTTGGTTCTCGCTCATACCGCAGGCTTGTCTCCTGTATGACTAGGCTCTCAACAGTTACTGCTACATGCAGGTGCAGAGACGGAGGATGCGGCAGAAGCACACACACCGGAAAATGCGCCGTCTCTCCTTTCCTCCTCCCCACTCGTATAGGACAGAGTTGGGATTGGCTGTTCAGCAGATTCTATCCACAAAGGAAACTGCTTAAATATAAAGCAACCATTCATCTACCCCAATTTAAAAATCCTCACAGAAGGGGTGGAAGGTGGCTAAGTGATTCAGGGTGCTTGTTGCTCTTCCAGAGGACGCAGGTTCAATGCCAAGATTCCAAGCACCCATGTTGGGTGGCTCACAACCATCTGTAACTCCAGCTCCTCTGGGGATCTGTCTGCTTCTTCTGACTTCAACAGTTATCTGGATACACATAAGCAACACAGGCATGCATACACACACACATACACACATGCATGCACACATGCATACACACACACATACACACATGCATACACACACACATGCATACACACATGCACACACACACATACACACATGCATGCACACACACATACACACATGCATACACACACATGCATACACACATGCACACACACACATACACACATGCATGCACACATGCATACACACATGCATACACACAGGCATACACACATGCATACACACATGCATACACGCACACATACACACATGCATGCACACATGCACGCACATACACTCAAACAGTAAATCTTTTCCAAAAGCCTCTGGCAAAACTGAAAGTGGTAATTTTACTACAGGTGAAATGTAAACCACATCTCTAGGCACATGGGCTTCTTCCGAACACGTGGTCACCTCCCGGAAAATAGCCAGACACAATGGACACACAGCCAAACACCAAATTTCTGAAAGAAGCAGGCGAAGCCTAACTTTGCGAGGCAAGACATGCCGCCCTGCACTGCAGTCCTACCTGCAATGGTATAATCCGCATTGATGACCCTCATGGCAGGGGTGTAGGTCACCGCTGGCATGCTGGACTCTTTCCTCTTCTGCTTCTGTCTGTAGATAATGAACAGTGCCAGCAGGAAGAGCACAACAAGGACCAGGATGATGATGCCCGCGATGGCACCGATCTGATAGGAATCAGCGGGAAGGGCCGTGCTGGTCCGGCTTAAGCTGTTCAGGTTGCCCACGATGATGACACCAGCTAGGAGAGGGTGGAAACAGGCTGAGTGTGGATGACGGTGGGTGTTATAAAGGTCTGCTCTCTACGTGAAACAAAGCATACACACTCCCACTGGTCTAATGCCTAGGTGTTTTCACTCCATGAAACACTAATTTGGAAACAGAGCAGGGGAAAAACAGACATTCTTCGTTTTCAGATGTTGTTGGTGCCTCTGTTCTTGACTCTAAGCCCCTAGGAGGCAGGGTCTGAACCCTGAGATTCAGGAGCAGGGATAGGAGCAACTTGTGTATTTCATATTAAACACAGACTGGCAATTAAGCTTGGATAATGATTTATCTAACTTTTGTTTTGCTTTAAGCATTATCTAGTACTGATCCTACACTGGAACAAATCCTAAATGCCCACTTGTCTAACTCAAACTTTCACTTATCTTTAACATTTATTTTTTATGACAAGGTTTCTCTGTAGCTTTGGAGCCTGTCCTGGAACTCACTCTGTAGACCAGGCTGTCCTTGAACTCACAGAAATTCCCCTGTCTTTGCCTCCCAAGTTCTGGGATTAAAGGTGTGCAGCCCTATCGCTTGGCTTATCTTTAGAACTTTTAAGAGGGATTTACCTTCTAAACCAGCGCAGCTCCAGTATAACCCTAGTGCAATGGGCCTCTTACTGCTAGAGATACTGTCCTCTGAAAAGCTATTTTGAATAGCAGAAAGATTTCTCATGATAGCACCTAGTAACAACACCTGATTCAGAAAACCGTGGTTAAATATATATGGTTTTATATGTCAGTTATGCCTAAATAAAATTTAAAAAGTTCATGAATTTTAGAATAAGAAAAGCATGGCATCGAAGCTGTGACATTCTAAGCATTAACTCCGTGACCTTGGGGCCACTGACTACCTTCTGTAACTTTGACCCGGTTTCCTTATCTATCAAAGGCAGCAAAAGCAAAACATCCACCCAGCAACCACATAACTAACCAGCTAAGCCACATACGCTTCCATGAGGCTAACCCAAGATAACCCAAGTGAGAGTACTCAATACTGGTGTTCGCGGTGGCCACACACTGAGAGACGGCCCTTGTCATTTACTAGTGCTTTACCTTGGTCACAGCGTGCTCCTTTCCATCCTGGACTACAGTAGCAGGTGCCAGTGATGTGATCACAGGTGGAGTTGTTCAGACAGTCACAAATCTGGCGACAGCCATAGCCGTATGTTCCCGCGGGGCATTCTGGGAAGGAGACGAAGCCATATTTCTCAAACTTCCCAAGGAAATGAAACTATATTTCCCAAGTCCGGAGGATCCAGACCAAAGCTGTCTTCGTTGGTGTGCTCTGTGTATCAGGTGCTGAGCCCCACCCACAGGTTTCGGCTTAGAGAGACCTGTGCCACCCGAGGTGTGGGAAGCCAGATGGTGGTTCTTGAGCCATGATGGGGATTCACAATCCTGCTGCTCAGGACTGAGCCAGTCAACATTATGGCTCAGCTCCTAACACATTTAACTGCTGAATGCCCACTTCTCTGATATATATAGAGAGGGTCTGTGGGACCCCGGTGGAACGGATGAAAACATAAGAAGCAAATTGATGTGACTCCTACAATCAGATCTGTGGGTCAGAGGGAATGGGACCCACAGTGTACACTAGAAATGATTCCTAGAGAGCACACATAATTTTATGTAGACTCTGGAGCTCCTCTTGAAGACACTTGGGTTAGCTCTCATTAGGAGCAGTTTAGGTTATAGTCTAGGTAAGTGTTTCACTTGATATAGAATGCCCCAGTGTAGACTCGGAGTCTAACACAGTAGGACTCTTAGGCTGTGCTCTAATTTCAAAGAAGAGTGCTGGTGAAAGGAATCTAAATCTGAGCATCTTCGACGCCGATGTTGTTTGCGAAATGAACAGCAGGGGGAGATGTGTCATCACTACCAGGTCTAGCAACCAGGATTGCTGGTTTTAAGCACTGGGAGCAAGCTTCAAAAACACGGACACTTTAATCACTGTAATACCACATCCAGAGAAATCACGGAAGAGGTTTTCCTTAAGAAGACATTAACTGGTTGCCTGGCATTTGCATGCACGTCGGTTTAGAGCCTGTGCTGATTTCTAGGCCTGGGTTTAGCAGGCATAGAAAGCATTATACACAGGGATTGCTGCACATGTGACTCACTGTGACTCTGTATCCCTTTTATGACCACCGGGAACAGTGACACAGGACTGACATTGTGCCATCTTTGTCTTGAACAGGCTCTGGGAGGCTCTTGCTGTTTTTGCAGGAGGGAGGTTCTGTACAGACATGCTATGCATCCGCACTTAAGGCTGAGACCTCTGAGCTGCGCTGGTTCTATAAAGCTGGACTGGAAAGGAGGAATGTTGATTCTACCCACTAATGCAGGCCATTCCCTCTCTACCCCGAGTCATCTTGGGGGCCACCTTCCCAAGAATAAACTCAGTGGTCAGTGGTAACCTCTCGTTTTGCCCTGCCTTGGGGCCTTTAGCATCAGAGAGTGGGCCGCAGACAACTTTGGCCTTTCTTGCTTCATCTTCAGTACTGAATAAATATCAGAAAAAAAGAATAGTATGTTTATCTTACATACTCCATTTGAGGTTAATATTCTTGTAATCTTGGGAGGGAAGGTGGCAATTGAAACAACAAAGACGGGGGTTCCTACCGTATATTCTCCCTGGGTGAGACTAAGAGAAAACATACAAAGGCAGAGTGTCGTCTTGAAGATTAAGATCCAGATGAAAATTTGATAGTGGAAAGAGTAAAAGTCACTGTCAAAAGAGTGGCAACATTTGCCTGGACTCATTCCCATGCCCTGGACCCCAGCATTTCTCCCTAACCAACGTCCTCCCACGTAAGTCTGGATTCACTACTGCCATGAAGGAAGACCAGACATCTCCGTTAAGGCTCCAAGCCATCATCTTCCAAAACTACAAGAAGGAGGACAAGCCAGAAAAGACATAATGGAAAAGTTGAACCTGCCTTCATTCTTACAGACTCTCCCCTTCCACCCAGAGCGCTGGGTGTCACTCAAAATCTGGAGGAAAGACAGCCGGCAGGGATTCTAGCAGGGAGGTACTGAGAAGAGGAAGTGGGCTGTGCTGGTAACTAACCATCGCCCAGACAACTGGAAGAAGCAGCGGCCCTGCTGCCTTTGCATCTCTGGCCCTCCAGAAAGGTGACCCAGGTGCCCAGGGAGGCCACACAGGGTACTTACTCTGCTCGCAGAGCCGTCCCATGAATCCCGTGCGGCAGGTACACTGCCCTGAGATGTGGTCGCAGTCCGCTCCATTCTGACACCGGCAAATCAGTGCACAGTCCTTGCCGTAAAACCCCAGAGGGCATCCTGTGTGAGGAGGGAGGGCAGAGGAAGTCAGAAGGGTGCCTGTGAGAAACAAAGCTCCTGCCTGCGCTGACTTAGGGTTGAACTACAAGGACTTGGAATACCTTAAAGAGTAAAGGCATTCCCATGCACCTCAGCGGTCACAGGGCTGTTTAGGACTCTTAAGTCTGGGCTCCTGCAAGGAGATTGCACTCCACAAGCCAGACGCAGAAGAGTTCTCTAGCTGGACGTGTCACCATCACTGGTGTCTTCCTGCAAAGCTCCATGGAGCCCAGGAAGGATGTGGTATTTATTGCCTTTATTCTTCACTCGGTTTCTAGAATCCTGGATTTGAGTTCCCCGGACTGAAGTGAGTACTTTGTAATTTGGTTCTCTTTTAGAGTTGCTTTTACAAGTTAAAACAAACAAACAAACAAAAAACAACTCAAATTCTCCTACTAGTCCGGTCCACCGCGTCTGTTTGTCACTTAAATCATATTATTACCATTATCAAATATATGTGGCAGAATGCCTAAAGAAAGACAGCTGTGTCTCAGAGGTGCTTTGTGAAGGCCTTTAGGTCTTCACGCTACTACACAGCTTCTAAGATTTATACCACCAGAAGCCTGGGGCAGAACATATATGCTCGCGCACAGGCACACGCTCTTGGCTTACATGCATCAGCAGCTACTCTCTAAGACTGCTTTAGGCACCTTGAAGGCTTCAGTACAGGCAGATTCCTCAGTTGTTTCCAGATACCGCGCACGCCTTTTATTTTGCCATTTAAGGGAAGCTCGTATTTTCAGGAGTGGGACTGGCACACAGATTGCAGAAGCCAGCTCATAATGATACCCCCATATCCTACATTTGTTTGATACCCTACTCTGCGCCAAATCCTTTGTGTTCATTCTGCCATTTGATCTTTAACGGCCTAAAAATCCAGAGGTGGGCCTTCCTATGCTGCAGATAAGAACTAAGCCTCGAGTATCCCAAGTCTGGCAAATGGCAGGCGGAACTATGGTCAGACCAGACCCATGCAGGTAATTCTATGTTGTGCTCGGTGCACTTTAAAGGGTCTTCTGCTTAAAGTCATGCCTACCTTTGGAATTATAAATGAGCTCTATGATTTTTCCTAAGGAGTTTGAACATCTTTATGGATACACAATCTTTAGAGAATAGCATTCAAATTTGCCCTTGCCAATTCTGTCTTTCAAATCTTGGGTCAATAGCCATCTCTCCTCCTAGAAACTTCCAGAAGTCTTCTTCCAACTATTCTCTATCACACTTACAAACTAGTACTTAATAGGAATCACCTATTTCCTAACTCCTCTTTTTTCCCTCAACACGGCTGTCATTTAAAGTTACGTTACTGTTGATAATAGCCGTAACAAATGCCTTCCTGGCTTGTTGCTTCACTTAGCTGAAAGCCATGGGCATTTCTCCACAATGTGTTCATCTGGGGGATGCTTGCACATCGCATCTGATTCTAAAAACCACACGGGGAAACTAAAGGGCAGTGTGAGAACGGGCTAGGAGTAAGAACTAGAGGGATGGCTTTGAAAACATGATCCTGGGCTGACATTGTCACCAATGGGCAGAAACACAGATTCACAGGTCCTGGTCTAGACACACTGAATCCGACACCATGGGAGGCGGGCCAGGCATTTGGAGTGGTTGATTCCTGTAGGTAAACCTCATTTTCTCTGTGGGCACACTGTTCACTAATCTACGAGGTGTGTGTCTCTTCTTACTTCCTATTCCCTATCATGGATCCTCACATTTGTACATTCAGAAGAAATAAAAGCACTTCACGTACAGAAATACAGTCTGATAAAAGAAGAGAAAAAGGACATCAATACACGTTAGAAGTGAATTACTTTCATGACTCGCTCCACCTCTCTGTGCTCACAGAAGCTAGCTGAAGGGGACCTGGCACGTGGGGGTTCTTAGACACTCAGAGAAAGGGAGCTATCTGGAGGTCACTGAGTAGGCATCACACACGTGGGAGGAGCCCTCACTCACCTAACATGATACACGCAAACAGGGAGGACATTTCCTCTTTGGTTGTCCCCCCCCCCCCCCCCGGTGACGTCCTCCTTGCTTACTCTGAGTGCAGTAGAGCCCCGTCCATCCAGGCGTACATTTGCATTCCCCGTCATAGGCACTGCAAAAAGCTCCATTGTGGCAGTTGCAGGTGTGGATGCAGTTGGGACCCCAGTGGGCAGGCGGACAGGCTGAAAATCACATCAAGTATGGAGAGATGAATTGGAGTCTCCAGGTCAACACCAAACAGAACATTCCACCATCTCCCAACCTTCTTCCATGTGCTAGGTTCATGACATTAATATGGACAATTTATTCACACTTTAGTTGATAGACAATGTTGGTGGCAATAGCTACCAACATCGCTGACATATCCACACATTTTCAGCTTCAGAGGACTTGAGGGAGCAAGAATTACTTTAAAGATTCAATTGTTAGACAAATCACACTGGACGCCGACTGTGTACCTAGCACTGTTCTAGACCCAAGGAATAACAAAAGACAAAAATGGGAGTTGGAACTCCTCTCTGAACACTTCTATTTTGCAAGATAGCAAAACTATCAGCTAGCAGAGAAGCAGTGCAGGGAAGAGCTGTGGAAGAGAAAGGTGTGATGAGGACAACAATGATGGGGCTCCTCCTAAAGCCCAGCCTCCCTGGAGGGGACATTGAGTTAGGACCAGATGGGGAGGGATTATCCTTATGGCTCCTAGGTCGTGGGCTCAGGGCTCTGATTTTCCTTAGGGCTCCTAGGTCATGGGCTCAGGGCTCTGATTTTCCTTAGGGCTCCTAGGTCATGGGCTCAGGGCTCTGATTTTCCTTAGGGCTCCTAGGTCATGGGCTCAGGGCTCTGATTTTCCTTAGGGCTCCTAGGTCATGGGCTCAGGGCTCTGATTTTCCTTAGGGCTCCTAGGTCATGGGCTCAGGGCTCTGATTTTCCTTGGGGTTCCTAGGTCATGGGCTCAGGGCTCTGATTTTCCTTGGGGCTCCTAGGTCATGGGCTCAGGGCTCTGATTTTCCTTGGGGTTCCTAGGTCATGGGCTCAGGGCTCTGATTTTCCTTAGGGCTCCTAGGTCATGGGCTCAGGGCTCTGATTTTCCTTAGGGCTCCTAGGTCATGGGCTCAGGAATCTAATTTTCCTTGGGGTTCCTAGGTCATGGGCTCAGGGCTCTGATTTTCTGACCCTGTTCTGGTCTCTAGGCTCCAGAGATGCCATTAGAATCTCACTTTATGTGCCAAGGTCACCAGCTGTATGAAGCAGTTTATTCATAGAAATTTCTGGCTGGAAGAAGTAGAAGACAACACAACTAAATCATCAGTGGCCACTGTCACCGGAAGAGCTATTAGAAAGCCACACCAAGCCGGGCCATGGTGGCGCACGCCTTTAATCCCAGCACTCGGGAGGCAGAGACAGGCGGATCTCTGGGAGTTCGAGACCAGCCTGGTCTACAAGAGCTAGTTCCAGGACAGGAACCAAAAGCTACGGAGAAACCCTGTCTTGAAAATCAAAAAAAAAAAAAAAAGCCACACCAATATGGGCAAAATAATTAATTCAATCCCCCAAACAATTCTATTTCTACTACAGCTTTAAGAAAATATTAAAAGGGTGGCTACTTATAATTTCGATCTTATTATCTAATTGAAAACAATAAAGAAAATTAGTGAATCTGAAGTATTTCCCATAAGCATATGTGCCATTTTGACCCAAAAATGAGGAAAAAAATAACAGCTGAAATTCATGGTCCATAGGAGTGTTAGGATGGATTGTCGAAGAAGACATTTTTAAAGATGAAGAGCTTAGGTTCATTCCTGGGTAACAGGAGCGTATCCAAGGTCACACAGGCTCATAGTGGTAGTTGCTATTTGGTACATATGCTCGGCCTCACTCTAAAGGCCACTGTAGGGCTCAGTGTGAAGACAATTAAAATGTCCAATCTCCTCGATGCTGCATATTACCCTCTTTATCCCACACAACCAGTTTCTATAAAAAGAAAAGCTCAGTTTTGTTCTCCTCCACCCAATTCCCCTAAAACCATTTCTTTTATGTTTGTGTTTATTTACTTTAGCTGTGTTTATATGTGTGAGTGAGTGTATGTATAATGAGTGTGGGGGCATGCACACCTGTGTGTACATGGATCTCAGAAGAGGGCACCGCGGATGGAGTTACAAGTGTTTATGGGACAACCCTCCCAGCTTGTTTTCAGGGTGCTTGGATTCAAACTCTGCTCCTCATGATTCAGCAGTGAGAGCTTTAAACCACAGAGTAATCTCGTCAGCCCCAAACAGGCTACTTCTAATGATGCTTAATAAACCTTCATGAACTGTCTTCTGCCCAGAGCATATTTTTCTAAGTGGTCCCTTGCAGCAGGTTTGACTCCCATGTCAGCTGTGATCAGAGATTGGAAATAAAGATCACTTAAGTTTTCCATCCATAAAGGTAAATATAGAGACAAGGCTTCCGATAGTCATTTTGCCAAGGCCATGTGGCCCTTTAAATGCATCCCATTAGATCTCCAAGTCTCTGTTTGCATGGTGAAGGACTTTCCTCCTTTGAAACTAGCTGGCAATCAGCCAAGAAGAAATATTAAGATGGGCCCATAGGGAATCAATGAAACCAATGGTCCCCAGGAGAAGCAAGGCTTGCCAAATAAATCAGTTTCCTCCAGAGCGATTATGGGGACAAGCCATGCTATTGTCTCCATTCACTGTGCTGTTCCCATTTTTGTTCCTTCCAGAACATTCCTCCCCAAATGAGGAAGTGACCAACTTCCAAAATAAAGACTACGTGTTAAAGGAGCAAATTACACCAACTGTGTCCCAGCAATGACATTGCATTTTTGTTTTCCTTCCCAAGCCCTGGATGTTCATTTCTGAGGACCTAGTCCACAATCTGCTCCTGGGCCATCCTGAATCAGAGGCCTTCCATGCACAGATTTGAATAGACGGCAATTGCTTCTGAAGTTCCACCCCCTAAAAGGTTAAAACACAAACTATGAAATTATAACAACAAACATTCCCTTCACTGAAGGCTTACTTATCTCAGAAATAGGGGAGAGCCTGAATGGTTGAAAACAAAACTATCATTCAGACAGAAATATATCCTCACCAATTAATATTTGCTGATTGATAGCCCTATAATCTGAATTCAATGGCCTGCAACCCATGTAGTATCAGAGTCCTTCCTTGACCTATCATATGTGCAGCGTGTTGGCTTCAGTATGAGCTGGTCATGGGCCATGCAGGCTGTGATGGGGAGTAGAAGGGCAGACATATGCTGTCCTTGGTCAAAACCTGAACACTTTGTGAAGGTGACTAACTGAGCCTTTCAAAGTCTGGCTTATGGCCACTGTTCTCTTTTTATGTCACGGGGAGCCTAAAGCCATCAGCAGAATTCCTCTTAGGGTCATACTACCCCCATCTGAAGAGCAGAATGAGAGGCACCTGGGGAGCCAAGACACAGGACAAGATGTGAGGGGCACTAAGGCAGTCAGTCTACCCAGGATCCCAGAAAGTTTCTAAGATCCATATCATTTTGATTCTACTCCTTCATGGCTCCACTATTAAATTTTCTGATGACTACATGATAAAAAGATCTCTAAATGCATCTACTTTTTTTCATCTATAGATATCAGGAATAGAGATATGGCCTCGTTGGTAGAGTGATTGCCTAGCATCCTTGAAGCCCTGGGTTCACTTCCCAGTACCACACAAGACCAAATATGGCTGTGCACAACTGTAATCCCAGCATTCTGGATATGGAGGCAAAAAGAGCAAAAATTCAAGGTCAATTTGGACTACATAGTCAGTCTGAGGCTGGCCTTGGCTCCACAGAACCTTGTATATATATAAAAAAGAAATCAATGAATAGCGAGTCAATGAGCAGTGAATAAGAAAAACAATTTACAAATCTAGGCTCTTCCCAAAGAGCCACATCATTTATTGGTAGATTCTGATAGGTCGTTGTACCGATATCTTAATTTTAAAACTATAGTACTTATAATAGATGCTCAAGGTCACATATTCTTTGCTGACCATATAACTCTCACCATTCAATCCTAAGACACAGGAAATGGATTGGGTGTTCTCCAACAAGACTTACGCTGAGAGCAGTCACTGCCGATCCAGCCTGGGTAGCACTGACAGGACCTGTCGATGGGGTTGCAGGTGCCGTTGTTGGTGCAGGTGCAAATGCCCGCACAGTTTTTCCCAAATCTGCCACTGGGACACACTGTGAACAGACGGAGTTCAGTCAGCTAGAGTTGGAACCCATTTCACAGAACCCTGAGAATGGGAGACAAATTCCAGGGTCACACCCAGCCGCCCGCTGCCGGCCTGCCTCCACTTAAGAGATCATGCATGCTAATCGCAAATAGGCTCACTTTTCCAAACACGTGAAACCAAAGGCCTGATTCTGACATCTCAAAAAGAAACCGGGGTGTTCGTAGAACTCTGACTTGTGGTTTCTCCCTCAGGGAATCAAAATCCTTTCTCACGTTGACTTTTCATGAGTGGATGGTTCCAGTGACATCATAAGACACAGCCAAGGGAGTGTCACGCCAAGGAGGCGTTTCCAATGCTCGGGTCATTTTCAGAATTACCCAGAGCTGGTGGTGGCACCTACCTGTGGCCGTGGGGAAGTCTGAGGACAAGCTTTAGGAAGTTTGATCCTCCCCACGGCTCTCCAGGGTGCCTGGGTGCTTACCTTCGTTGCACAGGGCTCCCGTGAAGCCAGGCAAGCAGTCGCACAGGCCTGTGATGTGGTGGCAGGGCCCACTGCTGTGCACACACTGTGGGCATGTCTGGCTACAGCGATGTCCGTAAAACCCCGGGGAGCAGACTGCAAATAGAATGGAAATGCATAGTTACCTTTCTGAGTTGGGTCTATCTCCTGTTCCACTCAGAGGCCTAGTTAGAATGGAGAAATAAGAAAACTTTAAAAAAAAATGATAATGAGGTGTGGAACAAGTAGGTCAGCTTTTAACAAAGAAGGAAGCCACTAATCTCCGAATTTCACTGGCATGAGGGAATGTCACGGATAGACCTCACTGTCCTCCTGTGGTCGGCTCAAGGCCAGGCCTAGACCAGAGATTCATAGACATTTGTTAAATGAATAAGGAAATGAAGAAAAAAGCTCAAATATCAATGCCCAAATTAAGTATTCCAAGCCATTTGTTGGTCCTTTATTATTTAAGAACCGTGACTGGCAAATAAAATAAAATAAAATAAAATGCTGCTCAAAATTCAAAGACCTTTCTCCTTCCAAAAATGTTGATGGTTGTGGTTAGAGAGAACAAGTATACAAAATGCTGTGTATTTGGATGCTTCCAATACTATATTTGAATTTAAATACAGAATGACTGCATTGAACTCTTAATAACAAAAGAAATTGATCTGAGAAATTACAACTGTGTGTGTAATAACTTTTCTTATTACGTTTACCGAAAGATTTGGTAAAATCTCACAGACCTTTTCTTAATTCGAGGCTTCTACAAAGCAGCATCAACAGCCCCCATTTTTAACTTTGAAGTCTGCTTTCTCCCCAGCACTGACTTTCAGCTTTCTAGTGAGATGTGAGATTGCCTCGAGGTTTGGCTGATGTTAACTTCTGGTAATTGAGGTGAGGCTGACGCCAAATTGCTGAATAAAATATTTACAGGTCAGTGGATTTCTGGAACACCATTTGCACCCTCTGAGGAAGACATGAGAATCGTGCCCTGATGATGAGGCCCACGAGGTAATGAAATCATCATTGGGAAGAAAGGGTTAACGCCCCCATCTGTTAAGTTCCTCCTAGAGGTTGAAAAGAATAAAGTACTTGGGCAAGTGTCATTTGAAGATAGTGACAGTTCTTCAAGGACTGCTGTCCTAGAAGGCCACAAAACATCACTAGAAACTAAACGGTAGAATAGAGACCGATCTACACGCAGTTCCCAGGAAGAGGGGCACAGAGACCATCCCCCTAGGACACACTTACTTCTCTGACAAGAGGTGCCTCGGAATCCGGGTGCGCACTCACAGATGCCGTCGTCAGGAGAACAAGAAGCCCCATTTTTACAATGGCAGGGCAGTGAGCAGTTAGGACCCCAGCGTCCCTCGGCGCACACGCTGTCACAGTGCACACCTGAAACACACACGGGGCAGGGCTGAGGAGGGTGCAGCGCGGGCATCCAAGGACGCTAATACGTAATGGGGTTCAAGAACGGCGCAAGCGCAACTGCGCAGAGAGCACTGGACAGAGATGATACCTGGCTTAAAACACACTTACAATACACAGAGTCATTCAAATGTTAACAAATACCCAGAATTCCCTCCTATGCTGCCAAGGAGAAAATACTTTCACTGAATTGATTTTTCTTCTTTAATAGGAGGGAGCATCGGGAAGCCCGAGGGCTTTGTCTGTTGAAGGCAAAATTTATCAAAAAAAAAAAAAAGACTATTGATTTCCTATTTATCCGCCACCCCCCCCCCCCCCCCCACACACACACATACCCATTCTTTGCTTTTACAGAGAAATGAACACAGGGTACAACGACCAGACAAAGCACAAAATGATTAAATTCTTTTACATGAAGGCAGCCCTACTGGGGACAGGGTAGGGTAAACAAGGAAACACAATCCTAAAGTGCTTCAATGATGTATTGTGCGGGATACGCTGATGTGCTCATATGCATCACCAATTTCATTCCTAAAAAAAATTTGTTTCCATCTGCACAGATAGAGGCAGACTATCCCAGCCAATGCCATGTATGTGCTATTGTCTGAGTCGCTGCTTTGACATCGTATGGAGCTATTTAAGTTTTTGTTTGGGAAATAAAGAAACCTTATGTCAGTCATGACCCAATGAACTAGTTTCTACAGGAAGCTGGGTCTGCAGGAATGAAAATAAAGCCAGGCATTAATGGAGGCGAAAGAGGGTTCTGTAAGTTTGTATTAAAATCCAACAGGGATCTCTTCGCTACATCAGATTCTCAGACCCTTCACCTGCAGAGGGAAGACTTCTGACCATGGCTACACTAGTGACTGCTGGCGTCCGAACAAGTGATGGCGAACACGCGAGGACATGCTCAATCCAGGATTCCAGAAAGTTCACAGCGGCCCTGCCTGGAGGATGCTGGGTAGGCCATACCACATTTATGGTGCCCTGAACCTCATATGGAAGGCATTGTAGAGGACCTCAAATATGTCACCAGCTGGTATAAAGCCATTACTATAAAATGATAAATCTCTGCTTTTTCCTGTCTCCATGTCCATCCCCCAGCAAAGTTCTTAGCTTGGCAAAGGCCAGCCAAGAGGCACAATCCCATTGTCTTCACTCAGGTTAGCAATAGACTTTGATTCCAGAGAAAAACAATTCTGGATATAAGCTGATGAGTGGCGGCTAAATGCCCCCCACAGGATAAATAAATAAAACACGGACCTGCTGTTCTTTCCTGTGTTCATACACACATCTTACTTTTCAAGGTCTTTTGGAAAGCTGAGACACACTTGCGAATTCCACACTCTCTGACTATGAAGAGCCATGGTGTCTCAGGTGATTTTTTTTTAATCCAATACCTATACCATACAGAACTGCAAGGCATTCCAAGCAGCAGTGAACTTGGGAGTAGGTTGCAAATATAAGCTTTGCTTTGCGTCTGAAGAAAGAACTATCAAGGGTAACCTGCCTGGGGCTTTCCCTCAACTGGAATTCAGATTTTCCATCCTCACTGTAAGCCAAGGCTCCTGTTTGACAGCCATGGTGGTAAGGGACCACCTGCTTCATAGATTCAGATGTCCCTCGGCATTTTGACCCAGATCCATTCAGGCTAATCTCAACAAGAAGCCTGAGGAAGTAGAACCCAAATAATTTCGCAGTTAACCTTATAACCATCCTGAAAATTAGTTCTGATTTCTTAATATTTTTTTTAAATGTGGAGTGGGGTTTGAAGCACAAGACTTGGCCATTTAAGGTGTCTTAATTTATCAATTATTGGCCAAATCACATTACACTTAAATTCAGCCATAATGGAATGGAATATGTTTCAGGCCAAAAGTATATGCATGGTTCTCTAGGGGAACAGAACTGATATAATACATTCATATGTGTGTGTATGTGTGACCTCTAATATATATATGCATATTTATGGAGCTTATTAGAGTGGATTACACTTACAGGCTGTGATACAGCTAGTCTAACAATGGCTGTGTACCAACAGATAGTCCAAGAATCCAGGAGTTGTTCAGTCCACCAAGCTGGATGTCTCAGTGTACTCCTGAATTTCAAAGAAGTAGGTTCTAATGCCAGTGAAGGAATGAACTCACTGGTGAAAGAGAGAGCAAGTAGGCAAAGGGTTTTCTTCCATGTCCTTTATAAAGGATGCTGCCGGAAGGCGGGGCCCAGATTAAAGTGGGCTCTTCTCACTTTAAATGATTTAACAGAAAGAAACAAACAAACAAAACAAAACAAAACAAAACAAACAAAAAACCCTGACAGTGTACCCAGCCATTTGGGTTTTAGATTAATTCCAGATGCAGTCAGGCTGACAACCAAGAATGGCCATTACATTGACTTTGGATATTATAGGTTAGCATGATTAGTAGGTAACAAAGCTGGTTCTAAAAGATGACTGAAGATTAGCAATCAAAATTGAGTGATCCTACACTTGGTACTTGATTCCTTTTCCCTCATCTGGCTGGCATACCTATCTGTCATGATCAGCTTCACCGTTTACGTTCCCAGTAAGTAGAAAGCACCATGGAATAGCCAGGCAGTCCATTGAAAAACAAACAAAACACACACTAGTTTCACATGATTTTTATCCACCATTTTGTTCCAGAGACTGTCTCCAGTCATAGAAACTTATTTCAGCAGAACCAAACTTGCTTTTCAAATAACTTTGGTTTCTTAAGTTTTAGGATCATGAAGGAATTTTTCCATTGAATGCAAATTATAAACATTCCATTTTCTGTTTTATCTCTGAAATTCAAGTTCTCTTATTTTATTCTATGCAGTAAAAGAGTTATTGTTTTGCATATATTAATACCTAATCTACTTTGAGACAAGTATCAGGTATGAGACAAGCCCACAGAAAAGTAGGCCCCTTCATCCCCCAGTGTTACCTCTCCTCAAACTCTCTGTGACTCTTGCCATCTCTTCTTTCATTATATATTCAGGGAAGGGCATGATAAGTCTATTATAGCGGGGATCTTCTTTCTCTAGGGATTATTAATATTGCAAGAAGGCACACATTTTGAGAGTCCAAGAAGTAAATACCTAATTATAAAATTTTAGGCAATGAGAGTCACAATTAAATCTTGACTAAGTGTTTCTTTGAATCGCTTCCTGGCCTCAGGTTGAGGCTGTGAGCTGCGTAAGGACACAACCCTGCAGTGAGGCGTGTTCCAAGCTGAAAAGGTGTTGAAAGAGTTGTAAGCTTGCTATAGCACCTCTTCCTTTCTTTATTTCTATTGCCTTCATATTTGCCCAGTCTGAAAGAGTCCTCTGAAACATATTCTTGTTTCCTTGTTTGCCAAAGATGAAAAATAACTTAAGATAATATGCCTTCTAGGAATCTAGCCAGTCTGACTTGTTGGTGAGACAAAAAATGTCAACTCCAGATAATAAACTCCAAAACTAGTTAACTCCAGATGATAAAGCCCTGGGACACGACCCCAACTCTGTCTAGTGACCTGGACCAAGGGAGGAGGAAAAATGGTTCTAGGCTCAGGGAACAGTAGCTACAAGACTCAGAGTCCCAAGAAGCATGCAGAAATCTTCTAGGAATTGCCAAAGTTGGGAACAGCTGGAATTTAGGAACTTGAAATACCAGTTGAAGTGTGTGACCAGCCATGCGCTCATAGAGAATAGCTAAGAGCACCATAAGGTGGAGAGAGAGACCTCACCCCTGCACCACACCATGCTTGCAGAGACCCAATGAGACCCAATGAGACCCAATGAGACCCAATGAGAGAGAGATCCCACCCCTGCACCACACCATGCTTGCAGAGACCCAATGAGACCCAATGAGAGAGAGACCCCACCCCTGCACCACACCATGCTTGCAGAGACCCAATGAGACACAATGAGAGAGAGATCCCACCCCTGCACCACACCACGCTTGCAGAGACCCAATGAGGGGTGGCAATGATGAATTCATGCTTTATGGGAGAGTGGATGAACGTGGGAAGACATGAGTCTTGAAGACAAAAAGTTGGGTGACGAGTTGAGATGAAGGGGGTGAAAATGAGAAGGATGAGAAGGCACTGAACAAAACCCAGCGCAGGGGAGGAAGAATTCTAGAGACTGGTGGAGGAGAGACAGATGGAAAGTTCTTCTGTTTTCCTGACCCTACCCCGGACAACTCATTCTGCCAGCTGGGAGAGCGAGAAAGCCCGACTGTCCTGTCTGAGACCTAACACACATGGAGAATAATGGTTGGCCCTGAGGGCCAGTATGCCTCGATTCACAGAGGTGATGTCTCGGTGTGCCTGTGGGGTGATTGCAGAGAGGAAGTGTGAGGAGTGGGAAAACACTTGTCCTGAATGGGGGGGGGGGGGGGCAGAAGGATAGAAGAAGCTAGAACAGGAAGAAGCCAACACATAGTTCACATGTGTGTGGGCACTTTTGTCTTTCTGGATCAGAAAGGCAAACTTTTGGGTGCTGGAAGCTGTTACCCCGTACTAAAGAGAAATAGAAAAATAATGAGATACCATAAGATGATTTCTTTGGGATATCCACCAAGGAACAAATAAAATCTTCAAAATCAGTTGTTTCTTTAGCCGATTCCTTAAATATTTGGAAGAGGGGGCAAATGGGAAGAGGGTGGGTTTCTATTTGAAGGCAGTTTTGCTCAATGGAAGCACTTCTTCCTGATAAATTTTCCAATGCTGATAAGGAGGTCTGCGAGGGACTGTTTTTGCCAAGACAGGGGACAAAGAGCCCATTGATAGCCTTCTCAAGTTGCTAGGCAATGGCTGAATGACCGAGATAAACTTCAGCTAGGCAGCACTAAAGAAATGTTCGTGCATTTAATGCCTGATGCATTAAGCCAGGGGCCTCAGTGTGAAACCCGCATTCACTAGGCATTTGTGACTGCATGAATGTAGTAAATAATCATCTAGGATGTCCTTATTTCCCCTCTC